GATCTCTCCGTTTTCCGGTCGTCTCTGTGTGTGACAAGGAGCCGGACCTGGAAGATATTATTTTAGTAAAAGTGTTGATAAACAGAAGAGAAGTTGTGTTAACTTACTATGTATAGACGAGGCTGCTCAGTGTTTTCAGGTCGCCGCTGGACATGTGCCAGGCTTAAAAGAATACAAACGAGATACGGAGTGCCTTATCTCATTGAGACGTCTCGGGCTCTATCACCAATCGAGCCCCTCGGATCTTCCATTCTGGGTGCTAGTAGCCTCGTTGGTGAGTTCATGAATCTCAGCCTCGTAGCGCTTCCAAGACTTGAACATCTTGAAGACTGTGCCAGTGCGGATGTGAATGCCGAATTTGGTGCGGTGCATGTGTTGGTTGACGGTTACATCAAAGTTGTGCGTGACCTGTCTTCTGGCCTCTTTTTGGTCATCACATACTCACCCTCATCAACGTCATCGGCGCGGATGGCACGCAAATCCCTCAATATCTATACAAGCGCATAGACGAGCATGTGGTGTTCTTGGCCCTGCTGCTGTAACAACACCGTCTGGCTGCTTAGCTTTTGTCCTCGAGGTGGTCGTAAGGCTTCTACAGAGCGACTCAACAATTGTGAGGGCATGAGAGGACGTGATGGTCTGGATTCGCTATGACGTTGCGGTGCTGTATCAACTTGACACTGCAATGTTCGAAGTTCTGGGTGACCAACTTGTTTATATAGCCCATAATCTCCACAGCCGTATCAGCTGCTGCTCAGATAACAACGGGTAAGTAAATACTCCTTAGTATTCTGGTGTGAGACCTCCTATATTTTGGTTGGCCTTGTGATGCAGCCAGTCGCCGGCATGAAACTGTCGAACAGTTTCTGGTTCACCAGTGATAACTGCTCCATGGTGTCGCGGATTTACTGGTAGCTCTTCTCGGGATATGATCTCTCGGATGATATCTTCCATTCCCTTTCTGCCAGGTTGAGTAAGTCTAGCACCAGATAGCTTCTGCAAATCCTCGAGTTAAATGGTCGATGGGCATTAGCCACTTGAGAAAGGCTATCAGAGTTCGCCACTGGATATTCATAAATGGACTGGGGGTGGTGAAATACTCCAAAGCTAGGTCCCAAACTATGTCCTAATTGTAGAGGGCTGAGGCAACGGCAAACGGGCGGATCCTGGGACACGCTACAGAAGCTGTCAATGTAATTGAATCCACCAAAACACCGCTGGTAAAGATTCTGCCATTGAAGACAAAGCCCACAACCTCGCGGGTGATTGTGAAGAGAGTAACAATGCTGCCTTTGACTGCGAGAAGTGCACTATGGCTGCTTGCTGTTACGCAATCTAGGTAGACTTTCAGCTGTTGATACATCTTGAGGCCTTAACCGGCTTCAACTTCGAGTATGCCGCGGCTCGGGCTGGTGCCAGGCTTGCATATCGCAGTAGTTACTCGCCTTAGAATCCATAGCTCTAGGTTCGCAGTCGAAGGGGCTCTTTGAGCTATATGCGCTCAATGTGGCCGTAGTAGTTTGTCACTTTATACTTCGGAAGGAACAAGTTGATCAATCGACAATGTGTCTTTCCACGATCCGATCGTGTGCAGACCTCTTGAAGTGCCGGGTAGAGCAGTAGTGAGTCTCAGCGTGAATAGTCTCAAGGTCCGGGCAAAGGAACAGAGCTCCTTCGACGCTGCCGTCGGGGTCCATTCGATGGCAAGAATAAACCGTACAAACCCCGGTTACTTGGAGGATTATAGACTTAGAGTCGGTTTCTACGATAGATTATCCGCTTGCGCTTTTGTGTAGCTTCCATGGCGAACCAGTCCCTTAAGGACTGACCTTGCTCTTCTGGCTGCTCCGTCAGGTGAACACCGGGTAAATATAAGGGGCCTGGAGTAACGGAGTATCACATGAGATCTACTTTAGGATTCGGTTGAGCGCAGACTCCATGCGACGTGCATATTCTTTTCCATGCTCTCCCGACGATGTTGTAGGATCCTCGTCCTCCCATTCCTCCCTGACACTGGAATAAGATGGAATTGGTTTGTAGACTCTGCACATTCCTAGATGTCAGGTTGTTTGTTGTGACCGATTGTCAAGAAGACCCCTTTATATCTTGGTGAGGTGGGCGTTTGATTTTGTCTATCCAAATACGTTGGCAGCTATTTTTGGTTATGTCTGGCGCTATACCGTCTGGTGTCGCGTATAGCCGGGCGGCGTAGTCAGCGCCGCGCTGGGAAACGATCGTTGCCAGGGGTCCCTCTTTATGCTCCACCTCTTCGACGGTGATCAAGGCCGGTAACGGGCTGGTTGTTGGAAACTCCGTGGTGCCATCTGGAAGTATCGCCGGGTCTTCATAGTCCGGCGTGTCTGGAGCTGCCTTAGCAGAGGCTTTATAACCTGCTTTCCCAGGTCAACCCCCCACTTGAGGGTCTGAGCGGCTTGTTTAAGTAGGTCCGGGGAAAGAAGCCATGGCTTGAATGTCTTATTGCTTTAGACCCAGGTTTTCCTCATGACTTGAAGAGCCTCCTTGAGAGCTATAGCACGCTTGCGCGCCCCGTCTGCCGGGATTTACCACTTGTTTACCCAGGTCGATGCCCCATTAACTGAGAAAGGGGAAAAGACGTAGGTTGCGTCGCCGATGAGGATTGTACAACCACCACTGAGACCATCCCTAAGAAGCTAGGTTGGTCAAAGCCGTATCATATTATATAGACTTATTATTGAAAGGCGATCTGTAAGGGCGGTGATGCGGTGATGCGGTGCTGCTACCTCTCTTGGTGCTCAAGGCCTGTTTATGTTGACCAGAAAGGCTGACTGGGAAGACAACCACGAGTAGTTGAGGGGACCGTCTAAGAGGACTGGTAAGAGACAAGGGGGCTTGGTCGAAGACGCAGGTTCGCGGGTTTAGAAAATGAGTGTTGAAACTGAAATCGGAGCGTCGAGTGTCGGTATTCTCCAAGGGGCCACCCGGCATGTTCTGAGGAAACACCCATCTCAGTTGGGCATACCTAATATATATACATGTTTCCATGGCTCTTACTGTTGAACCACCCTTTGACTTGTCAGTAATACTAAGTTTATTGTTGGCGGTAAACGCAAGGATATTTAACATATCTTTCCAATATCCATGGATAACACCATTCTTGGTATCGAACTGCTTTCTTGAGTCACCATCGATATCGAGGATATATAAGTTAGTCATGGATGGTATGATGTCTATCGCTTCTGAGACCTGCCATTTCTAGGTGATGGTTGACAGTGCGGGTTGGGGATTGACTTGGTCTTTCCTTGGCAGCAACTGGGGGGTTTTGTGGAACATCGTGACCTCTTGGTTCCCCTCATAGTGGTCGTGTATAGGACTGCCATTGATAGCTTGTTGTTGCTCCAAGTCTTTGGGTTGTCTTAGTCCTTCCGAGCCGATGAACGCGTTGTTTGGTCTTCTTGCTGGTTCATATGTAAGCAGTGTCGCTTAAGCACTGGTTGAGTGAGACATGACTCTGGACATAGTTTTCGGCATTGAGTTGCTCCACTGTCAAGCTGGAGCTGCTTGCTTGGACGTTTGCGGGGTGTTGTCGAACTCCTCGAACACATGATGTGGCATCGTAATGTGAGGTTGAAATACCCAGACGTTGACAACTCCTTTCACATCGTCTTTCCTTCTCCTTCCTGGAGGGGGTCTTTGGTCCATGTAGCAAGGTTCATTCGTGAAGGTCGAGCCTTGGATGATGACTGAACACAATTTCCACAGAGTGCTGGCAGTATGGAAATGTAATGACCAACAGAAAGCTGCCGAATACATATATAAAAGCAGGTACAAATGAGGTCAGGGGCTGACAGGAGCAGGAGAAAGCCCAGAAGTGAAGAAGGCAACCTGCAGCGACAGGCGATTTGACTGAAACGATACTAGGATGGACAGGGTAGGTTGATCGAAAATACTGTATGCTTCTGTTGGTGACAAGACGGTATATAATAATGCCTAGGGTTCGACTGGCTCAGATTTTCCGACTTGAAAGAACTTGTAAACGGTCCATGCCAGAGCAATGATGGTCAAAACCGATAGGATCACTTCGATCCCCGCGGGCGACTCGATAGCAATGTTCACCATATATAGGTACTAGAAAGAAACTCAGCAAAAGTTGTCCTAGACTCATCTTAAGCTCGGGCTAGACTTACCTGATTATTTTCATTGCTTAAGGTCAAGATCCCAAATTTCCTTGACTTCCCAAGTTGACATCTCGCAGTCTTTGTTCAAACAGGAGTTCTCTCTACTGAGACGTTAGCACTGCAAGTAGGCCATTGACAAAGTAATATAGATACCTTGCTATATCCACGAAGTCCGATCATTATGGTGTCGAGGACTATCATGGTCACTTCTTATACTGATACCCTCGTCGGGTGCCAGTTTGAAGGGTCATTCCGGGCAGATATATATGTTTCGAGACCAATCACAACCACTGAGGCGCTGGGAGATCTCAAACAAGAGAAAGAAAAAGGAATATATACACATATATGTTGAAGATGTTGTCTGATGTAACTGAGCTGAGTTGTGGGTTGACTGAGTTCTAGCCCGGGGATATCGGGGTATTTATACTTTTCAGAGACAGGCTTTACATAATCGTGTTTTCACTTGCCCTCATTCCATTTATGTGATGGTCGTGGTGTTTTCAACGATTTGTCCAAGTTTGCTTGCTGCCTAAGCAAAGACCAAGCATTTACTACGGACAAGCTGTTGCGCAATCACTTCTCAGCAAGTCACATTTCAGTGTATTAAAACGAAAACTTTTGTATCAACGATTGGCGACTTGTTGCCTATTGCGTATAGCAATCTATGTCTCACCTGCCTGTTCCATGAAGTCCAAATGCAATGCATTTTCATTCTCCCCACAAACCAAACCAAAACCAAGCATGACGATTCCTGTCTCACCAATCCTGCACCATTTCTCTTTGCTCTTAGCCAAAGGTAAATTCTACCCATGAGGCATCCTCCGTGTCGTTTTCTGGTCAGGTTCACCCAGATTCCTGGTCAACAACCCGTCGTCGTTTCTTAGGACATTCAGTCCCCTTTTCCGGGGATGGGTAAGGAGTGGCTGAAGATTTCTCGAGTTCCTGAGTCAACTCCTTTTCCTTGGAGGCCCAGATCTCATATATTCTCCGCGCTTTGAGAGTCTGTGCATGTAACCGCTGTGCAGCCTTCTTGGAGTCGTTTGATCTTTTCCTGTAGTAGTCTCGCTCGCGTTCCTGAACTTGACGAATTTGTTCATTTGCTTCCTGGAGCTGATTCACAAGATTTTTCTTTACTTCTTCGAGCGAATCCTTCAGCCTTTTTAGTTGTGTCATGTCGGTAATGGTGTCTATGTCTCGAATATTGGGAATTGTGTCCCTCCCTTGCTCCTCTTCATTGTCCTTTTCTCCATTGCCTGCATCATCCTCTGCCGATCTTTCACCATCCCCTTTTGCGTACTCAATCTGTTTCGTTCCCATGAAAAGATCCATTTCTCGCTCTTTGTCATTGAGAATGGGATAATGCCCTGGGCCAAGTGCCATATCAGGGACACCCCAGTACCTGGCAAACGCTTTGGCAATGGATTTGACATGGTTGTTATCGGGCCAGATAGCCTGAAGCACTAGCAGATAGGGATAGAAGTAGAATTCCGGGTCGTCAGTTCGGCCTTTTCCTTTTATCTTGTTGTAGAAGGGATGCATGCTTGGGTACAGGTAACCTCCCCATCGGCGGTGCTTTTCCAAGACCTCAATTGTCTTCTTTGCAGCTTGTCCGCACATACGATCCTTGGCTTTGTGGAAAGCTTTCCAGACCAGGTCATCTTCGTAAGACATCTTGTGATAGTTTATGTTGGCATACGCCCGTAAGAAAGCATCCCTGTTTGGGACGAGGCCGCTTCTCTCACTCATCTTTCATGAGTAAGGGTTTGCGATGGGAACTTTAGGGCTTGGTCGGAGTCGTGTTTAAGTTGCAGAACTTATCGCCGATAGTTTCCACGCATCTCTGGGGGTGTTTGAAAGAGAGAAGTGAGAGGTTGAGACGATGATGAGAAAACGAGAAAGGTTTTAAAAGTGCGAGAGAGATGTTGCCCTGTGTCGAGTGCAAGCAGTGAATCAGAGGCGAGCGGCTCACAGCTCTGTTGATTTATGCATGCGCATTCCCATGCCGAGCTAAAGAGTTAAGCTTGGGTAGAAACTCCCATTCTTCCAAGCTTTTCAAGGGCGATAGAAACAGCACTTCAGACAAAGGTTTAAAGTAGCATCAACAGGATTCTACCTAATTATCCACTACAGTGTCCTGAATATACAACAAAAACTTGCAGATATCATTATTCAACTTGGTGTTTACACCATGAATCTGTATCAATTATACTTCTTGACTTTATTGTAGCTTTCTGAGAAGGTGTTCAGCATCCAATGTCTCACTCTCTCCAAGTCAGAGTACAGTTGATGTTGCAAAGAAAGTATGGACGTTCATTTGCATATTAAGGTCTTTACAAGTCTCCCATCTTCTATTCATTAAGGCTCCAGCTAACATGCACTCACTCGACGAGGCTCTGATCAAACCTCTCAGTATCAAGAGATGTAGACGGGTATATCACTCCCAAACAGACTCCCCTTCTGAACCTGAACATCATCCCGGTGAAAATCATGCAACATGAGCCAACAAATCATCCGCAGAACAAAAGTACACCAAACTTCCTTCGCAGCACGAAGATACGCTGCATACTCAGCCGTCTGGGCCGCTTCCCCCTTGACGACCTGAAACTCAGAATCTGCGTTCTTGAGATTGAAGAATGTCATTGATGCTGACCTCAACACGGCGGGAAGTATTTGCTGGAAGTATGCTTTCATCAGGGTGTCTTCTTTATTACTTGCGTTTGCAGGTGGGAATGCTGAGGCGCTGTTCATCTGGGAGAGAAGTTCTTCAAAATGTGCGCCAATAATTTCCTGCCCGAGAGATGCTCTTTGACTTCCATGCTTTAGCGAATAGTAGTCTTTGAGTGAGTCGTCGAGCTCGTCGAGAACAGAGTGCAGTGCATCCTGTGCTTGCCAACTGTAGTTCTGCGGGGTGTCATCTCCCGGTCGAACACCTGTCTTCTGAGCGAAAATGGTGTTCGCATGAAGTGGTAGCTTTCCGTTTGCCATGTCGGGGTCGTCTTGGATATATCGTTGAAACGAAGCCAGTAATCTAGGGGGGGAGAAGCCTCTTGTGCTCCAGATGCAGTAGCATGGGTTGGGAATATATCTGAAGCAGAGGTCCTTGATGTGAAAGACTTGGCCGATCATGCCTATGAGCTCAAAGGTGACTAGATATGTTAGTACTGTCAGTTTAAAGTGCGAGACGAAAACTTACCTGGAAAGATGTGAGACGTCACAGCTCCATCTCTCAGGAAGTAATTGACTGCCTTGCGTCCACATCCAAACGAAGACAACGTTTCCGCAATCTCCGTCCTACTTCCCAATCCAACATTCGGCCACTCAAATAACGTGTTACCGCCCTTATACCCAGGATGTCCTTCAGTAAATATCGTAGGAAGTTGTCCAAAAGCAAGTCTTGTCACCGCTTCCGTCGGAATCGTTCTATTCCCTTCAAATACAGCCTTCTCCAACGCTTGAAAGTGAAACATGATCCCAAGTCCACTGATCTTGCGACCTTTGACGAGAAATCCGTTTCCTTCAGCTTGATACACGTTGTGGAAGGTGTTGAAGTCTTTCCAGTAGATTCCAAGCATAGCGAGCATTTCTATCAAGCTGCTCATGGTAGTTGTAGCGTATGGGCGGTTAATTGATGGGGGCATGTCATCCCAGCTTTTCTTCTCGCGTTGCAGAGCGGCGTTGAGGGTGTGTTTACCGGCGATGGAAGTGAGTATGGCTGTGGCGCTTGCTGGTCGAGGCCTCAAGCCCATGATCTGCTGCCTCGTCCAATTCTGCGATTCGTTTTCCATCTTTTGCAAGCTCGATAATAACGCAAGCCAAGTCGCGCGCTCATTCTTAATAAAACGCCCTGTCTTGGTGAATGTACCGGTCGATGGTGGCTCGAGATCAGTCCACGTATCATCAAGACTCTTTCTCGTCCCATCAATGAAAAACACATCCGCTCCAACTATAGGTCCCTTCGCAGTCTTCGAAGTAGTTACAAAGATAATGGGAACTTCGAATTGAATCTCTGTTCGAAACTCTTTGGGTCGCCAGGCTTTGGTCCGGGATTGATGCCATCGACCCATGACATTCTCACCACAATTCGGAGGCGATCTGAACTGCTTCAGCGAGAATGGTGCTCCTGGAGGTGGTTCCACTGGAGACTTGACAACACTTCGAGTTGTGATGGTTCTCATGAGATCTCTGGATATGCGTTGATTGCCACTCATTTGTGTGTAAAACTCGGGGTGTTGAAGTTCTGTCCTGCTCATGATTGGAAAAGCTGACAGAATGGATGAGTCGTCGGCAAGACTGAAACTTGTCATCACTGAGCCTGTTATGGAGCGACCATGAGTAGAGTGAATTGAGAAAGCGTCTGTCGAGTTGTACACGCGCTTGTAGACGTCTGTCTTCTCAAGGGTAACTTCAAACTCTCGACGTGGTGGTGAAGTCGCGCCGTTGCTCTCACTCTTCGTCGAAGTTTCCGCTGAAATTGAGCGCTTGAGTTTCGGCATTCCTAATTCTGGGACACTCGATGTCGGGAAGCTGAGTGATCGCTCTGCGCTTGCGTGAAAGCCACCCCATTCGTCTTGGTCGTACTTCCGTGATGTAGCGACTGAATCAGTTTCTGTGGTGTCATCTTCTTTCCAATGATGCAATGTCGGAGCCATAGATGATCGATTCGAGGGGATCAGAGTGGAGTTGTCGGCGATGAACTTATTGAACAGCGCTTCGAGACTTTCGATTCGTCTCTGGGTTGCTTCGCTGCTGTTGAGGACAGCATCAATCTTGAGTTCCAGCGCGCGCTGTGATTCCACGATAACCACGTCAGACTCGCTATCTCTTGTTAGCGCCTTCAATACCAAGGATGAATGAGACCTGCCATTGCAGAATGTTCAAGATGAGAGTAACAGAGCCCTTGTGCGCCTGAAGCTGTCGAATATACTTGACAACATCATCCTGCACCCTCAACCACTTGACCCGATCCCATCTCGTCAGAACAACTTTCCCATCCTTATCCAACGGCTTCAGCGTGGTGATAAGATGATCACACGTCTTGATCAATTCACTGATCGTGACAGTCGCATCGTGAATGCCAACCGACATCTTCGCCGCTTTCGGCACCGAATCTGGATCATCGATCAAACTCTTCAGACGTCTAATCGCCCAATTGATCTCCTTTGTTTCAGCGTGTGCCCAGAATACTGTTCGGGGGCAGTTCTCTATGCTGGTTTTGACGGTGTCGAAGGTTTTGATCACGGCGGCTGAGACTGTGAGAAGGCCTGCTACGCCGCTGGCGATGCTGAGGGGATCCATGGCCGAGTGAGCGAGTTGATGATGAACGACATTGTGAAAATCGTTGCGGAGGTTGGGGGCTATAGATATGGTAGAAGGGTTCAGCTCAAAATCAGGCTGTGGTTGCTTAGCTGCGACAGGGTAGCTGATATGCAGCTGTTGAGCGATATTGTCTTGATGATGTAGTCATTTGCATCTTTGGCTTGGCGAAAAACTGGAGGGTCAGTCTGTCCGGCTGACAAATGAGGGACAGTGAGATCGATCATCGGAAATGTACTTAGCATGGGTCGATTCTCATGCATCTCGTCAGAGTAGGGTAGTGTCTTGTGCGTCTTGTCCTCAGTTTGCTCTCGTCTGTGTGACACTGGCAGAGGATGACAGCAGATGGGTCAAATGAGGGCAAACAGATTATGCGTTACGTACTCACCTGAAATACAAGACGTGTCACATATTGAGGTTAGGAACATGCATGGTCTACAGTAGTTTCATTAGTTTGTCTATGTTTGTGATTGTGCATGTGAATAGTCTAGGGTGGCTTGTTACACCTCATCAACATCCTCAGCTCAACCACAACCTTGAGAGTTGTGATACTACAAAGCAGCTACCCATGTTTACAGACTGAAACATCAAGAGGAAGCCTAAACTCATCGACAATCCTTCAAGATGCACCTTTCACTTGGCATCATCCCAAGACCTTCCAATACAGTATTAACGCCCCGTGCATGCATCCAGCCGCAAAGCACAGGGATCCTCAAGCGTAATCACCAACAACCACTCACAATTCACCTCCCCCTCTTCCCCAGCCCTACAAGCCTAGGTGGGCTGACATGCGGGCACGCTACAGGGGTACTACGGCCCGTGAAAATGGGACTTTTGGGGGCCAAGCTCTATCGTCGTTGGACGCTCACACAGCTACAGAGACGGGCGGGTAACGAGCGACGCCCGTTTCGGTTACATCTTTCTTCTTACCACTCACTCTGTTGCATGGATGAGCGTTGCATCTAGGGGTCTCTTTGATGAGTTGTCCGCTTACAGGGCTGAGAGCTGAGATGTCGTTAAGCGCTGTGTGTTCTAGGCGTGCATGATTGCGTGAGGATAAAAGGTCAGCAAGTTCTCCTCTCCTCCTGTCCTTCTCTTCATTCTCTTTTCATGTCTTTTATGATTGTCGTTGGCTTACTAGTCAAGCAAGATGCCTTCATCTTCTTCCTCTAGTTCTTCCTCCGCAAGCCCGTCGTTTGCCGAGATTGCATCTGGTGTCGCTGATCTCGGCGACAGATCAAAAGTCACGCCTCAGCAAGCGATTGACAAGTTTTGGAAGCAATTCACTACCAAGAATCCCGGCAAAGGTGCTCAATCCCTAGGTAGTCCCCAAATCAAACCAAACATGTACTAACAGACACAGCAACTACTGTCATTCCCTCAAACACTTACACTGATCTCGCCGCCAAGAGAGGCAACCAAGTAACCACCACAACAACCCAAGCATCCTACGAAGACGCCGCAGCAACATGCCGCGCCAAAGTCGAAAAGATCGTCAAGGAGTGCCGTCGCATCAACAAGAAGTATCGTGATCCTCACTTTGACATTGAGGTTGATCTCAAGCTCTACCGCAACGACTGTCTGCACTCTCTCTCTAATGTTGAGAACTACCAGCCTGGTGAAGATCTCCGTCCGCAGAGCGTGAAGCGCGTTGGTGATATCTTTGAAAAGCCTTGTTTTTACATTGATGGCCCTACTGCGAATGATGTTAGGCAGGGACGAGATGGTGATTGCTGGCTCATGGCTGCTCTGTGTACGCTTAGTGAAAAGCCTGGTCTGATTGAACGCCTTTGTGTTGCGCATGATCAAGATGTTGGTGTTTACGGGTTTGTATTTTATCGGGACGGAGCTTGGATTTCCGAGATTGTTGACGATTTCGTAAGTTTCCCGCCTGTTTGTGTGTCGTGATGCAGAACTGACAAACCTTTAGCTGTACCTCATCAAGCCGGACTATGACGAGGGGTACTTTGACAGGATCCTCTTTGACGACGTTGAGCGCGTTGATCCGGATGAAGCATACCGTCGCATCTTCCAGTCAAACAGCAGTGCGCTATACTTTGCCCAGTGTCAGCATCCTCAGGAGACTTGGCTGCCTCTTCTTGAGAAGTGTTACGCCAAGGCTCACGGAGATTACGGTGCGATTGAGGGCGGCTTCGGAGGCGAGGGTATTGAGGATCTTACCGGTGGTGTCACCTCGGAGCTTCTGACAACCGACATTCTTGACAAGGTATGTTCCACAATGTCAATACGTATCACCGTATTAACGAGAGTGTAGGAGTACTTCTGGAAGGAAGAGTTGCTCAAAGTCAACCAAGAGTTCCTCTTTGGCTGTAACACCGGCATCTGGGGCCGTGGCTGGGGTGAGCGCAAGGGTATTGTTGAACTTCACGCCTACTCCATTCAGAAAGCCGTCGAGATTGATGGCAAGCGACTCCTCAAGCTCAAGAACCCTTGGGGCAAGGGTGAATGGACTGGTCCATGGAGTAAGTTATCCTAAATCTTACCACAATGAACAAATGCTGACCAACTACAGGCGATGGCTCAAAGGAATGGACTGCCGAGTGGCTTCAAAAGCTCGACCACCGCTTCGGCGACGACGGAGATTTCTGGATCTCGTATGAAGACCTACTTAGAAAGTACCAGGCCTTTGAGAGAACCCGTCTCTTCACCGACGACTGGCGCGTCAGCCAGCTCTGGACTACACTCTCTGTCCCTTGGGCATTGGACTACCACGACACGCACTTCTCTTTCACCCTCTCCAAGCCTGGTCCCGTCGTTCTTGTCCTCGCTCAGCTCGATGATCGCTACTTTAGAGGTCTCGAGGGCCAGTACATGTTTGAGCTGGGCTTCCGTCTTCACAAGGCTGGTCACTCTGACTACGTCGTACGAAGTCAGACACCATACCGAATGACGCGCTCCGTCAACGTTGAGCTGGAGCTTGAGGCTGGCGACTACGAAGTCCGTGTCAAGATTAACGCCACCCGCAACCAGGATATCTTGCCCATCGAAAAGGTCATCAAAGATAACGCCAAGTCTCGTCGCGAGAAGCTTCTCCGCATCGGTCTCGCCTACGATCTCGGCCACTGCAAGGGCCGTTTCGTCGAGACGCCAGAAGAAAAGGCCGCCCGCAAAGAGCATGAGGCCAAGATCAAGCAGAAGAAGAGAGATAAGATCAAGGCAAAGCTTCTCAAGGAGCGCGAAGAGGCTCACTACCTTGCTACACGACAGTTTGAGCGGGATGAGCATAAGCGACTGAAGAGAAAGGAGAAGCTTGCTCTCAAGAAGGCTGCTAAGAAGGCGAGACAGGAAGCTCGCAAGGCTGAGAGGGCTGCAATTAAAGCTGAAAAGGCGGCGAAGAAGGCTGCTGAAGCTGAAGCCAAGGCTAAGCTTGAGGCAGAAGAGGCTGCGAAGAAAGAGAAGGAGGAAGAGACTGAGGCCGGGAAAGAAGAAAAGGTTGAGGGAGGTGAGGAGAAGGTCGATTCCAAGCCTGAAGAGCCCATGACTCCCGAGTCTACCGCAGACGAGGACTCGAATGAGAAGGAGGAGGCCAAGGAAGCTGAAGCAGCTGAGCCCAAGGCCGATGAGAAGGAAGCTGAAGCCGACGCCGAAGAAGAGGAGGAAGAGCAAGACATCGAGAGCGAACCCGAAACCGACGTCGAAAGCGTCGGCACACTCGCCAACCTCGCCGACCGCGAACTCTGGATCCACGTCGACAACTACACGGGCACCATCTCCTCCGACAGCGACTCGGACAACGAATCGACCACCTCCTCATCCTCATCCGCCTCCGAAGCCGAGAAAGACCCCTGGAACGCCGTCGTAGTAGCCGGCATCCGCATCTTCCACACGGGGCTCGGCGAGGGCGAAGACGACAGCGACATCAACCTGAAAGTGATCCGGCCGATCCCCTTCGGAAAGGATGACGAGGAAGTTGATGTTGAGAAGAAGTGCAGTACCAAGGTGCTAGATGTTGATGATAGTGCCAAGGATGCTACGCTTGTGGGGGATGCGAGTGAGAAGATCCGGTTTATTAAGGGGGATGGGGCGAAGAGAAGGACTGCTACGTCTTTGTTCTGATGAGAATTGGATGGTTTGGATAGGTTATGATAGCGAATGAAACGGATTTGGTACTAAGAATGTGTTTCTATGTGGTGGTCAAGAGTCGCGTGTCAAGTTAAGCTTGAATCTACGCTTACCTCTTTGAGATTATAAGGCTGAAACGACGACGACCGTTTTCTATTCTTTCCACTTGATCAATTACCTAGCTATTGCAAAAGGGCTTTAGAGTTCCTAGTGAGACCGCAAACTTGTCATATGCAGCTCTGCTTACAGGCAAGCTCTAACCACCCAGACACATTTCTCACCAAGCCTGAAAAGAAACATGATACCGATCAATTATTAATTAGTGATCACATCAATCCGATCTCGTACTTCCTCATCTCCATCTAAGGGGAAGAACTTTAGAAGCCAATCCCGTCAGCTCTCAAGCTTATGTATTTATCCTCGAAAGCGTCCTTGATCATCGTCTAAGCCACGATAGTGGACAACACTAACAAGCCTGGGGGGGCCAAGCATCTCAAAATAGCTCCCTAGCTCCCGCGAATTCTCACCTCTACATACAACAGCAGTAATAAAGTCTCCGAAATTATGCTGTAGCATCATCAACAGATCATCAGTTCATCTTTGTAGCACACGACGCAAAGCCTTGGCATGCTGACGGCATTCAAGGCAGGTGCCAGAAATACCCAGTCCAAAGAACCGTTACATTTACCCAAGCCTTTTTGTCACTTGGAACTACCATGTAATAAAAAAGGATCATCTGTGGATACCTCTGTCAGCAACGTCAGGTCCACAATTTAGGGAATCAGAGGCGAGGTGCAGACAGTTACACAGCCCTACCTACCTCTGTCGGTGTCCGGGAGTGAAAGCATGACTTGGATCTGTTCGCGAGGTATCAAATTGAAGCGTTCATCATGATATAACGACGTTGAGATGTGAAACACGCGTGCCGTTCTTTGACGTGGCTGACAATGCCGAGCTAAGATAAGATCTGCAAGCATGATTCGCATTGCATTGCATTCATCTGGGACATTTTTTAAGGGACGGTAACACAACGACGGATACAGACGAAAAGAATTGAGAGACTATTTTTACTGGGAGACTCAGACTTACGGTAACCGAGCCTTGCGATCGATCGTAACTTATCCACTCAGACTTCAGTCAGCCTCCCTTTTAAACCTGAACAAAGCTCAGCCTTACTGCAGCTAAGCTATACACCCTTGTATAGTAAATTGGGTCTGCATCATCTTCTCAGCAATCCTTCATAGCCAACAGTCTTGGCAATTCATTCTTATTTTTCCTCGATGAAGAGCAGAGCTTGACTTGTTTCTTCACTGTAGAGTAGGCTAGCTGAGGCCCAACCGCGCACGAACACGTCCGCAATCCAAGATCATCACTCCTTGCCGATCTCAAACTTGGTGTCTCTCTTTGTGTCTTACATCCCTCAATCTCTATACCGCTTGCGCCACCCTTCGCCCAGCGATCCCTGCCGAAGGAATTGACCCAACCCAACAACACGCATCACAATCTGACAGGATTTAGCATGGGTCCCTCATCCCAGCTTCTCCAGGTCCAATTTTGCAATCCCCTTCCATAAACAAAAACACACAAAAAGAAAAAGGGAACCTCTCTTCTCGCCATGGCCGAGCCAGAGGACATACACGCCCGCAAGCCCTCCGGTATAAACATATTCGGAATCTCTGGCAGCGGCTATCGTCATCTAATGCCCCACGAAATGGCCGATCTTCACAACCCCTCGCCGGAAGCAAAAACGGGGAGCAGTCCTCCCGAGACACCGCATTCCTTTCATAACCTGCTTGGAGGGCACCCGGCGGGGAGTTCTTCTTCCAGTCCCAGAGTCGCTGATTCTCAAGGAACGCCTGAGCCGTACTCTCAGATTTGGGCCCCGTCTATGCCGCGTGGTGATGAGAAGAAGATCGATATGCCTAGGACCATGGAGCGAGAAGTCAAGATGAGTGAGGGCGGGAAACTTCCTAAGATTGTGGAACCGAGGGGGGATGCGATGGATGATGACTTTGATGATGAGATCTTTTATAAAAAGTTTGGTAAGTTTTCTCATTTTGTTGTTGAGGGTGTGAGACTTACTTGAACAGCGGAACCACCAAAGGGTTGTTCAACAACGCGAGATATTCACCAGCCAAGATCAAGCTGGCTCTCAATTACCATTTACGTCCTCTCTGTCTACTCAACAGTCGGCAGTGGAATATGGCTCGTCACAGCCATTCTACAACCAAGATGGGGACACAAAATCGCCTCTGGCGCATCCCTCTCACCATCAACAGCAACAACCCTCGCAGCACTACTAGCAAAGACGATCGAAATGTCCTTCGTCACCGTCTTCGTCTCATGTCTAGGCCAAGTTCTCACTCGCAGGGCATTTATTCGAAAAGCCCATGGCATGTCCCTTGCTGAGATGACGATGAGGAACTGGGTTATTCAGCCTGGATCACTCATCACTCACTTCGAAACACTGCCTTCTTCGTCGTTGACGCTTCTGGGCATGTTGTCGCTTACCGCTACTATTGCAGCTGCGTTTTACACGACTGCTTCTGATGCGATGGTCTCGCCCAAGTTGAAGTCTGGGAGCTGGGAGCATAAGGAGCTTGTTGGATATGTGCGTGCGTCGTATGCTAATGCAGCTTATGTGCGTGAGGATTGCCCGTATCTTTTTAACATCACTGAAGATATCCATGCCGCCGAGTCTTGCATGAATGTTCAATTTTCGGGTCAATCTTACAGGAATTTACTTAACTATATGAACATGTGGACGAACCTCAATCAGAATGGAACCGAAATCTCATCGGATTTGAAGAAGAGACCTGGTGGAACGACACTACTCCACGACAACACCACGATGTATTCTTCCTGGATCGAGACAGAACATGGCGACGTTGAAGCGCACTTTGAGGAAACAGGGCGTATTATCAATAATGTCACTCTGGCCCTTCCTCACCCAGGCGTCTACGGTGCTTCTAAACTCAAAGTGAACGGAATTCTTCAACCTGACGATCTCGCTGGAGTCGGAGAGTACACAGTCCGAGCAGGCGTTGTCTCACCATCTGTCAATGTTTTGTGCGTCGATATGGACAAGAAAGAACTTGCGCCTCTTGTTTATACGACGTGGCCTAATGCCAAGGTCAATGACACTGATATCCCTGGTCAAAAGACTGGCTGGTCTGGTTGGACGGGCGAAGTCCCTCAGCCACTTGATGGCAAGAACAAGGACTATTATCTCAACCGGACTGATGTGGATGATATATTCAGATGGGGACCAAAGTACGAGCGTCGGCCGCCTGTCTTCCAGATGGTAAGTCATCCACACACTTCCCAATGTCGTAGCTAACATGTCGCAGTACCCTTTTGACTTCAATCTTCTCACCAACGCAACCGTCTATGCTGCCGACGCCATCTACACCCTCGGCAAATCAGCCGAGAGCAAAAACTACACCGTCTGCCAACTGCGATCATGGGTATCTCCCAACTGTTCGACCGAATTCAACATCTCCGGTATCGCCGGTGCCAGCATGAAAGCTCACTGCGAAGACAACGCCGACGAGAATGCTTATCGACGATCATTCCCTTCAGACCAAGGCTGGTCTGCTCCCTCTCTTGACTGGAAGGTAAGTTTCACCTCGTCCATTGTATGAACAAGACTGACAACAATAGTGGCTCGCTGATCAATGGCGTTTGTCTATGGATCTTAATGGTGGCTCTGTTAACAACAATGCTTCCAACGCTCGTATCCTTACTCAACTTGCCCTTCATGAACCCAAGATGCCTGCTTCTTATCCTTCGCTTGCCGAAGCTCTCGCTGTGTATTCCAGCTCTCTCATCATGATCAGCGCCATCGATACACCTTTCCGTCACTACTGGGACCAGGACCCTAAAGCATACCCCGAAAACCTCATCCCAGCACCTGGTTTTCCTCAACCCTTTAACGCATCCCTCATCACACAGGAGTACACATCCGGACACACTCAATCATGGCAGAACATCTTTTACGTCGTCCTCGTCCTTGTCTTCGCCATCAATTTGTTCTGTCTGGGCTACTTCATCATGCGCTCCGGGCTAGTAACAGACTTCACCGAACCACAGAATTTATTCTCTCTGGCGATCAACAGTCCGCCAAGTAATTCGTTCCACGGCAGTTGTGGCGGAGGTCCCGAGAAGAGACATCTTGTTGTCCCGTGGAAGGTTGCGTATGCGCCGAGTGCGAACCATTACTTCTTCCAGGACAACTCGCCTGGAAAGGAGAATGAGGGGTTGAGTACGGCGAGGGAGTATGGGGAACCGAGGGTCAGCAGTTACAAGAGACTCAGCATGAGTAGGACTTGGCTGTAGATGGATCTTTGTGGCTCGTTGTTGTATCAGCGAGCGTTCCAAAATGCATGGTTGGGGAGTTATCATATTCAGCAGGGGGTATTACACTACCGCCGCACATACATACATACATATATCTTGAATACCATCTCATCAGATACTCTTTTAATTCCCTGGCTTCTTATATGGTGATCTCATACCAACTGGATGTTCAGTACACCAGCCGCCACTGTCCTAACAGTTTACGGGCTTAATCACACAAGGACATCCTTGGCTCCTGTAACTGCTTATTCTCTGAGATCCGGCAGTGATGTCTTTCAGTGCAGGCTGCATATCCGATATCGGCTAGGCTTTTGCATTAAGTATTCCCAAATCTCAGTGATTCACCTTCAATATAAGCCAGCATATCATATGCAGGCAACATAAATTCAGCAGCTACTCCTTCCAAACGATCTCCTCCTTCTCTCACAACACATTTCAAATTGAAGTCTCTCTTCTGATCTCTTCATTCTCGTCTTCCTTTCATTCCAAACGGCGTGGCCATTTAACAGTAAGGGCATAGGGCATAGCGCTTAACCGCAGAGAGTTCGCTGCCCGATATCTTTAACCAGTAAGTTATATTTATTTTATTTCTTTTCTACAGCCTTAATACTAATAGATACTGCTTCTAAGGTACCCCTTTTCACTATCATCCATCTGATCAAATGCTATGGAGCCTACTGGTGCTGCTTACGTCCTTACTGCCGCCCAGTTTGAGCGGGAGGTCACCCAGCATGGCGGCGATGTTACCTGGCGTCGATTCCAGGTCCAGCTTGTCATTGCTTCTTTTGAAGAGGCAAAAGGGCTTATGTCGAGATATGTGGCAGGAGAAGTCCACAGATACATTGAAAGTGGTAAATGGATTCAGAATTGTACCAGTCTGGGCCAGCACCCGGCCTACAGGAGGTTCGTCGGCACTGATAAACACTACCTAAAATCACTCTACTATCCACACTTTTTCGACGTCCAGGCTATCTTTGTCCTGGGTGGTAGACGAATCGGCAGTGCTGTTGACCGACTTTACGAAGAGCTGTCAGCACATTGGGGGATAACCATCAATCCGGACGAACCCTTTTATCCGCCTCGTCTCGCAGACTCGGAGAAAGAGCGTCGACTTATCTTGGGAAACATTCAAGGACCGAGTGCCCCGAGTGAAAGACAAGCCCCCTCTGAGGACAAACACAGAGAGTTGGGCATCCACCTCAAAGCTGCGGCCCAGCTCTCGGAAAAAATACAGAATGAGGACACCGTCAATCAACGACGCTCTATGGATTTTCAAAAAATCAGAGGTGAGCTGAGACATGCTCAGCAGAGAAACTTGTACCTCGAACGAAAAGCCGAGGAGGAGACTCAGAATCGGCAGAACGCAGAGCGTCAAAAGCAGGCATTGCAGAATCGGCTGGAGGAAAGAGTAGACCAGCTGCAAGATGCACATGCGCAATTACAAGAAACACATCGCCAACTTACTGAGTCCCGACAACATGCTAAGGGGCTCCAAGATCAGCTAAATCAGATGCAAGCCTACGTCACGCATCATCGGCAAATCTCAATGCAAATTGCAGAGATTGAAAAGCAACACAAAGCCTTAAGTGCTAAGAGGCAGCAGTGTATTGACATTATGGCTCAGCAAACCGTTTCCCGGGTCGAGGGGTCTAGGTCGGCGATCAAGCGTCCCGCAGATGGAATCGCACATGGTGAAGAGCCCAAGCGGCCTCGTCAGAATTAAGTTGGCAGAGAGCCAGTTTAGGGGGCCGAGACATGGGGGAAATGTTTTATTGGTGATAAGAATGATCAGCAATAGGTATTAGAAACTGCTGCGTGGGACACAGAATGACCGTTAGGCCCAGTCCCAGGTGAGGCGTCTTAGAGAAAAGCATGAATATATGAGTTTTGTTTACAATTTCTCTTGATAATCCATAGATATCATATCCCTTCTCCTAATAATTATAATATCATTTCAGTACCATTGGTCCCTGGTTAAAGGCATCCTAGTCAGTCAAGAAGTAGACAAGGGCCATGTCTGATAATTTGTTTACTTGCCAGGCGGAAGGAAGTCCTATATTGCTTGGTTCTGGGCCGACCTTAATTACGGCTTACTGCAGCACTAATCGTTTCCAACTGGTAGGCAGACGTTTGCTTCTGCTGGGCTTCAGAATATCACCAGCAAACAGTGCAGACTCTCTAGGCACTCAACCGCAACAGCATCTTTGCTATGTATTGTAAGCGCTATACATGGATGTTATAAGCCTTCTTTTGCTTTGAATTTTGTTTGCCTCTTGGAAGACACTCCCTTCTTTAGGCTGAGTACCTGATTGCAAGAGAGGTCGGCATCCGGATTGCTATCTGCAAGTAGCCGAGAGCTGTTACCTTCTTTTTCCAATTTTTCCCCCAATTTTAATCTCTCTTTTCTTCCTAAATTAAATTCCAGTATTATCTACTTTCTTAAATCATTTCTCTTCGGTCTTTACTCTGATTACCAAAACTTGGCTGATACTATGGCGTCTTACCGTCCCGCTGGGGATGTTGAGTACGCCCTCCCCTATTCATTTCCCGATGAAGAGGACCGGTGTGAGGATCCTGATCAACTCCGAGATCAGATTGCGAGGGTCCGGAATTCATTTGATCAGGCAAAGGCCGTCATGTCTCGACAAGCCATCGCTGAAATTTTCGAGTACCTGAAACAGGGTGAATGGATTCACGAATCAAAGCTTGCCAGCGGCCACCCTGCGTACGCGCGCTTCATGGGGAAAGGCAAATACGAAAAGTCGCTCTACTATCCACAGTTTTTTGCCATTCAGGCAATTTTCATCCCTGATCCTAAAGGCAGAGGTATCCTTGAGTCAGTGGTCAACCTGTATGCGGAGGTGTCTAAGCACTGGGGTATGCAGGCTACTCCGGGTGTCCCATTCTTCCCCCGCCTGGATGATTCTGAGCAAGAGCTCCGACTACTACTGGGCAACCATCGCATGCTCTCTTGGAAGGCGAGGAGATCTACTGTCCCTATTCACCCATCTCCTGCCGCGCCCGTCGTCGCCGACGTATCCCCAGGACCTGGAAGACAAACCGCCGCGTCCCCAACCACCCAGGGCAGCATCACCGCTGCTACACCCGGCCCCAGCACATCCAGCTACAGTCAAGTATCCCTTACGAACACCCCCAGTGTGATGAGCCGCCACGTGGCAGGTATCAACATGAAGTTTCTAGAATACGAGCAACGTGTTGGGGATCTTGAGCGCATGCTTCAGGAGAAAGAACAGCAGCTCAAGGACAAAGACTTCCAGATGAACAATCTCGGGTACAAACAGCGATATGAGCAGGCTGTGGAACAACTGCTAGAGACTCGACGAGAACTTCGCGATACGCAGCAACAATGCCGTGAGTCCCAGATTCTCCTGAGCAAGTACGAAGAGAAGGAGAAGCAGGCCCATCATCACCTCTCACAGTCTCAATCATTCTCCAACCAAGCGCACGAGGCTGCCCACAAGATCCAGAGTCTTCTGACCCTCGGCCAGCAGCAAAAGAGCAAGGTCTTGAATCTCCTAATCGAGCCCATCGAGGAGTTCAATGCTACTGCTGAGAGTCCCAGTCACGCAGCCCAGAATGGTCAACGAGCCAACAAGAGAGCTCGTGAGGACTGAGCTACCTTAAGGATATAAAAAGACTTTTGGATCTAGGAGTAGTTACTGAGGGAGTTTGGGATCAAAGAGAACATCGCCTTTGGCGGAAGGAAGGGCAACCGAACGTAAGAGCTGTTGGTAAAGGGCAAATAAGACGAGACGAATTATGAATTCAGCCATAGAAGAGCTACTTACGGAGAGACTAATGATGTATGAGTTGTGTCAATTTTTAATAACCGAGAGATAATAAACTTGGCAAAAGTTATCCTAAGCTTAGACTATATTACCTAAGTCTTTTTGTCATCTAGGATCGAGGACCTGTGTTTTCTTTCCTCCCCTAGTCTGTGTACTGAAGTCTTTCCTCCCCTAGTCTGTGTACTGAAGCAAATGACGCAGTAGAATTTTATATGGAAATGTAGTACATATTCACTTTGATAGATAACTAAGTATCAATGCTATTCTGGCAGGAATATTGAAAGACATCTGCCATTTGCTGCCATCGACCATTCTTAACATGGATGTACTGGCAGTCAGTGTCAACTCTGCAGGCGCACACGCGTTGGACCTTCTCCTGTCTATCGCGTATGGCAGGCGCGAACCCAAACAGCCTTCTCCTCCTTTATTAGCCCGTGCCTTTTTCTTCTTCTTTCCAACAGAACCAGAAAGAAGACAAACCTCTGGAGTCTCGATTGCCGCCCTTTCACTCCTCGTCTTTGCGCTTTCACTCGCAAGTTACACTCCTCTTCTTTCTCTGCAGCATCTGATACTACTTCAGTTTCTTCCTCTCGCGACGATTATCGCGCTGCCATCAACATGGTGAACACTGATTCCCGCCGAGCGGCCAGTGATGAATACAACCTCACTCGAGATTATTTCTCTTACGAAATTTCAAAGGGAGATCTAGACTGGCGCTCTTCTTAGGTCGATAGTGTCTTGTCATCTTTCGAGGAAGCCAAGAAGGTCATGTCAGCACAAGCCATCCATGAGATCCATAAGTATCTCAAAGCAGGCAGATGGATCAACGATGCCCCCTCTGCCAGTAGACACCCTGCATACAAGCATATAAAAGGACAGTCAAGTGGCCCTAAAAGAGGGGTGCGTCTACTCTACTATCCTCATTTCTTCGTCCTACATGCAATCTTTCCACCCATCTGAGTCTCTCAGAATTGTCTGTGAGGAATTCGGCCGTCACTGGGATCTTCAAGTTGACGTCCATGAACCTTTTTACCCCCGTCTGCAAGACACCGAGAGGGAGATGGAACTCATCATGGGCAAGAATCCACGTCCTCGGGGACAAGTCGGGCGCTCTTCACGGAGCCAGTTTTCCACCGCACTCTTCACTGTAACTCATGGCGGTAACTCGGAGACGGAAGATCAGAAGGACAGCATTCAAGTGGCCACCGACACCGCTCATACCCCCCAGCCAGTACCTGCCAGTGCCCCCGATACCCTTCGTAACTACGACGAACAGCTAGCCAGTATCCGAAGTGACTTTGAGCAACGCCTTGCCGAGTTCCAAGCTCAGATGCAGCAAGACGCTATTAAACCCTAGGAGGATTCAGAGCGACGCGTTCGGGAAGTGCAGGAGAAGGCACAAGAAATCCACCAGCACACGATGATGGCCCAAGAAGCTTTCAAATGGGGTCAGGAGCACGCACTCGCTGCTATCGAGGTCGCCGAAAGTATTGTTGATACTTTCAACGCAGCCAAGCGTCATGTCGTTGTTGTTCCTAATGATGAGGAACGGCCCAGCAAGCGTCTTCGCGAGAACTAAGTCCAGAAGACAAGAAGGATAGCGACTACTGGCTTAGCAGGAACTGCCGCACGGCTATTAAGTGTCTCAGTATTCTTGTCCCCGATGAGTAGCAATCAAACAACCGAGTTTGTGGGAACGGATATGCTTTAGTACAAGGAACGGAGTTACTTTGGTGGAAATCGTGAGATCCTCTTCAGAACATGGGTTTTCCTTCGATTATCCGAGAAATAGGAAGGTGTCAATAAACCTGTCCAGTAATAGCTACGGGAGAGCGGCATATGAGACCCGAAAAGATGTACGGAGATGTTCGACATAGCTATCAATAAGCCAGAAGTCATGTGTAAATGCTCCGAACGACCGTGTGCCGCGTTTGTCTGTATGTATTTGTCAGTCAATCCATGAAAAGTGACATCCTCCACGTAAAGATATTTGAGATGTAGACTCTAAACACCCCTCGTAATCGACCGAAGGAAGGCAAGAAGCCTCCAGATATCGACCCATCCGATGCGATCAAAAGATTTGGGTAAATTTTTGATGCATTCAGACCAGCTTTGGTACTTTGACCCTCGAAGCCATCGCATAACCATCCACCCAGCAACAGCCAAACCTACACCAAACCTACACACAAGCCACATCACATTTCTCAAATATCGAACAAGACAAAGGGACGTTTTATTGCACCACCTGAGAGACAGTAACTATGATAGTATGTTGATCTTTGACAAATGACACCATGTCAACTCGTAAGATAATAAAAAAAGAGTAGTAACCGCAGATAACCAAACCACCATAAAGGGAAAAAGGAAAAGGATGTGACGTCTGTCTTAACAGTAAAAGCAACAACAAAAGACGGCAACAATAAGCGTGGTATGTAATTTTTCGCCGTGAGCTTTAAGGATACACCGGATGAATAAACTTCGACACTTTACACAGATGGGATATCAGCCGCCCTCCCCCCTTTCGTCTCTCATCCTCCATCCTTAAATAAAATCTCCTGAAACTCTTCCAGGATTTTTTCCACCCATGTACCCCAGGTCCGCAAGCAAAATGACGAAGTGTGGTAACAAAAACAAACAACAACAAAAAGACAAGAGAGGAAAGAGACCAAGTAGGACAATGTGAAGTTTCCAAGGAAAGAACCATGTCAGTTGTGTCGAACCTGTTTCAGTCAAACACCGCGAAAGCGTCGGTAACATAAACAAAAAACAAAAAGTGCTCTTTTCCCCTGAAGCCACCACATGAGGGAATTTCACCTCCAGGACCAGATCGCCGAATGACCATGATATAGTTTCCACTCAGAACGCCGTGACAAATGATGCCTGATTAAGTCTGACCCAAGATCGTGTGTGTAATGCCAGCCAACCCAAAGTTTCTCGCAAGTCATTAATCTGCTCCTATCTCATCTCCCATGGGGAATGCTTCCGTAAAATTGAAGGCTGAGTTATCACCATCTTGGTCGTGGAGGAACGAATCAAAGTCAAAGTCATTGAGCACGTCACCCGAGTTGAGGGGGTTGGCCAACTCCATGCCGCCGCCATCAAACTGTAAGCAGAGTTAGTATCTAGTTTCACCACTAAGGAGATTGCACGTACCAATGGGCCAAAGCTGTTATCCATACCCATCATTTGATTGGGGTCGTGCTGAGGAGCTGGTGGCTGAGGAGGAGGAGCGGTTGTTGCAGCTGCGGGAGCATTAGCAGCTGGGCCAGTCGTTGGTTGACCATTCTGACCGGTGTTGCCAGCTTGCCCATTCTTATTGAAGTTGGCAGCATTGGCGTTTTGAATGGGTGTCGCAGGAGCTGGAGTCTCCTGTGATTCATTATTCTCGTTTGAAGGAGTTGCACCAGCATTGTTGAGGTTCTGGTTCGCCTTCTTATTGGCAGCAGCGCGCTTGAACTTGTTAGTACATGCAGAGTATAGTTCACCAGTTAGACCTACCTTATCCTTGGCGGTCTCGCCCTTCTTCTTCTTGGGCGCGGCCTTGTTAGTTTGGCTAGGAGTTGGCGGTGCAGCTGCTGCTTGTTGAGGGGATGCGGTCGTCCTGCTGTTGGCTCCATTTGCGCCAGCGGGCGGTGCTTGGGGAGGAGGCATCGATCGTTGCTGGGGAGTTCCCTGGATCTGAGGACTTTGCTGCTGCATCTGCTGAGGTACCATCTGTCCATTAGGTCCTTGCTGCCACTGCTGAGGATTTCCTTGAGGCCCTTGGCCTGGCTGGCCTTGCTGTTGTCGTGCGGCGGCCATCATCTGTTGCTGGTTCATCTGTCCATTGAAAGGTGCACCAGGGTGAGAGCTAGGGGGTCGCATGCCGCCGTTCATCGGAGGTTGGCCTCCCATGTTGCCATCCATCTGCTGCTTGAAGAAGTGAGGTGCCATGTTGGGATCCATCTGGTTGCCCATGAAGTTCATGGCCGGGTTGGGAGAGCCACGGGATTGACCACCCTCGGGGACCGGTGAAGGAATGCCAGAGTTGTTCATCTGGGGTGTGCCGCGCTTCATCTGCTCAGCAGGGTTGGGCGAGGCACCTGGTCGCATGGCCTGGGGCGAAGTATCCGGGAACTGGCCGTTGGGTCCAGGAGGGCCACCTGGTTGTCCGGGTTGGCCTTCTCGGGGCATGCCATTGCCGCCGACGGTATCTTGCTCTTGGCGGGCCATCATGAGTCGCTTCTTGTTCTGCTGCTCTAGAAGCATTAGCTGCATTTGATAGTCTTGGAGGGCATGGTTGCTTCCCCCTCCGTTTTGGGGACCTCCAGGTCCCGCCCGGATGCCGCCTGGGCCTCCCATCTCGCCTGGGTTGTAGAACGCATTGAGAGCAGTTCCATCGGGACCCTGGGCCATCATTGGGGATCCTTGGCCTTGAGGAACGGCATTGGGCATCTGCTTGCCTCCCATCTGAGTACCATGGTGTTGCTGCAGATTCTGCGAGTAGGTCGCGATCGACTTTTGCTGAGCGGCGGGCGGGGCGGCGGCAAAGTTCTGCAGCTGCTGAGGATGTAACGAGTGAGGATTGATACCATTGGCAAGTAAGGTTTGTTGAGCGGCGGCAGTATTGGCTCCTCCGGGCATCTGCTGGCCTGGCATGCCTTGACCGGGGCGGCCATTAGGCATCATGCCAGGCTGGTTAGGGTTGAACGGTGCGCCGTCGATGCGCTGTCGCTTGGAAGGCGAGGGAGCGTTCTCCCCAGACGCTGGTGAAGAAGGTCTGTTTTGGCCATCCATACCGGAGGGATCTCGCTGCATCTGGTTCTGCTTGGCCTGCTGTAGCATCATTTGAGGGCTGGATATCACTGTTAGGCGAGGGGCTTGTAGTACGATGAGAAATAAGATACTCACTTATTTTGGTTGTTAGCCATGGCGGCGCGGGCAAGATTGCCCTGCTTCATATTCATCATGCCGCCGTTCTGCATGTTGCGCATCATCTGATATTGCTGCGCAGCCATGTCTGGTCTCATCCCTCGCAGAAGTTCCTGCTGTTGATTCTGCTTTAGCCGGGATTGCTGCTACATTGCCACCGAGGGTCAGCATTGGTCACCAGCCAAAGTGGTTACCAAATGTTAGGGGTATGGCAGTCAATCTGACACCATCATCCATTGAGTGGGTGAGATGCCGAATTGGAGTACCCTGGGTGGCAGCATGACAGAAAAAAAAAGATGGCTTACCTGAGTATGTTGAACATATTGATTAATGGTATTGTTTCCGCTCTTGGCGCGCTGCGCGTAGTAAATGTCCCAAAAGACGGAGAACCACTCGTAGAGAAAAGAGGTGTCGGAAGCAGGCATGGGAAGCTTTGGCGGCGGCAAGTCTTCAGGGAGTTTGGAGTCGATGTCGTCCTTCGAATCGGTATCCATGGGGTCGTCGCCAACACCGTTGATGATATTTCCGTTCTCGTCGCGACGACGGTTCGCGCCATCCTTACCGAGGACATTGACCTGTTGATCGCTGGAAAGGAGAGATCGGGCGCAATCGTACATTCCCATGCGGATAAAGTATTCGTAGATGTAGGTGTTGAGAATGCTGCGCTGGTTCTCGTTTGCCTGTTGGCGAGACGCGGCGGCGGCAGCCGCAGCGGCCTGGGGGTTGACGACGCCGTTGTTCATCATGGGCATGGGGGCACCTCCAACAGGGCCACCCATGGGGTTCATGTTGGCCATGTTGACGTTTGGATTCATGGCCATGACAGTTCAGAAGTAACCGGAGAGAAGACAGAGAGAGGCCTATAGGCTCTGCTGCAGCGACGACAGCAGTCGGGGGCTCGTGTAGCCACGGGGGCGTGCCACCAGGCGGAGCAGCGCTGGATAGCGTCCCAACGTGGACGTGACGGGCAGTGAAGCCAAAGGTCGCGAGCGAGGGGATCACCAGCGAAGGAGGCGTGGACGCGGTCCAAGTTGCCAGGCGCGCAGTCGGGCGGGGGGCGAGGATCGCGAGAGCCACGAGACCAGGAGACCAGAATGGGAGGCGAGCCCGAGTAGAGGGAATTGGAGGATCGTGTCAGGCGTCGGCAATCGGCGGAAAGGAATATCGCAGGAAATCAAAAGTGATAAAAGCGTAGCGTGCACTGCAGTGCGATAGTACGCGATGCGATAGTCGACCGATAGTCGATGTCGCGGTGATGAGTTGGAGATAAGAGGTATGGAGGATGAATATGGTGTGGTTGGTTTGGTGTAGGTTGGATTTGGCGGAGTGTCGAGGTAACTGGGAGTGGAAAGTGGGCGCTGGGCTTGTGCTTTCCTGAGGTGATGGACGCTGCCTCAGTTGCTAAGTGTAAAAAAACGAGTGCCTGGGGTTGGGCATTCGCCAGGGGTGGGAGGGTACTTGTGGTTCTGCGGGCAGCTCAGGCAAAGGCCAAGTACCTTGGAGAATTCAACGGAACGCCTCCAAGGACAAGCGGGTACCTCCAGATTATATGCTGAGTGCCCTTCTATCCAAGTACCGACAGCAAACGGAAACGATCCAAACGCCAGACGGACGGGAACAGTGGAGGACGGGGAGAGACCCAGTATAAGGTAGATGCAGTAGGTTGAT